GCTCTTGTATGTACTCCTTCTGATATGCCTATCACAAGTTGTGCTTCTGAAGTTTCTTCAAAATAGTGGTTGAGTTTGGCTCTTATACTTTGTATCTTTTCCTATCTTTTGCTTTTCACATGGAACTTGTGAGATAAATTTTCTGTAATATAAAAAGAAAAAAAAAAGTGAAAGAGGAAAATAACATAGTGAAAAAAATGCCAGTCCAGGCCATGGTGGAGGTGTCGAGTGACTGGTAATGGTAATTGTCAATAAAATGTTGTTGTATGATGAAAAGAACTTGATTCTGTAGTTGATTTGTAAAGGAAACGTTGTATAAAAATAGTACACAGAAGTAGTTAAGGGCCTTGTCAATTCTTCTGTTCTCTTTAAAGTTGCGTAGCTAGCAAGTACTTCTTTATATATTGAATAGTGCATTTTAATGGGACCTTCCTTTAGAGTTTGGTATTTTGGACTCTAATGCTACTTTTTATAGTCTGAATGTGATGCCTTTCTTTGTGGCAAATTCGATGTTGATGCTGATGGAGTGAGGTTCGGCTGTTTGACTATTCAATCCAAAATCCAAATAATTTAAAATAATGAGGGAAGGCTATGATCTTCTCACAGATAACAATTGAATCAACCGTGATTATCAATTTCATCCATCATTTATCATCAAACACAACACACTTTTAAAATAAATTCATTTTTATTGGCTTGTTGATAAATCTATATATGTAATTCTTGGTAGCCAACTTCTCCAAACTGGATAGTATATACTTGAACTAAACCAATACCACAAGTTAACAACAAATGGACAATGAAGAAACAAGTGAGCAACAATTTCGATGTGATTCCAAGAAAACATATGGGAACATATTGTCAATTGATTGTGTTGATCAGAATGGAAGTGTAATGATTCTACCAAAAGCGTATCTAATCTTAAATCTGTAGAGAAATTAATTTCACATTTATCACCGATAATAAAACTCCAGTAATAATGAGTGGTGCTTTAGAAAGAGTAAGTGGTCCCAGGTGCAGCAAGAGTTTACATGAACAGTTTGTATCCCGATCAATGAGTAGTTGCCCTGAAGTTGTCATTGCCTCCATCGCTTTCTTCGCTTATGAGCATGAAAGCCTTAGATGATTAAGACACCCAACTCAGCGTGGGGCCTTTTTAGGTAATGCTTATAATGCTAGTGTTCATTCCCGACAACCTCCTCATCTTTTTTCTGATTTCTAAGTTCTGTCCATGATATCGACAACCGGCACTGAGACGGGAACTGGAGTTCATGGAATTGGCGTGGGAATTCAATGGCAGTTCAAGAGGAAATTACAATTTTTTTTTTTTAGATTTTGTTTTTTATATAATTTCACAACTTTGGTCGCTAAATTCAAACATTTTTGTAATGTATTAAAGTTTTGTAATTTATTAAAATTTACATGATGATCAATTATAAAAAGGTGAATCTTCTTTAATGAACAAGGTCACATGTTAAAAACAAGAAGTTAAATTTACATGTAGATGGAAAAATTTAAATGTTCATTGTGTATGAGAACATATATATAAATAAAAGCTAGATTGGTTCAATAGTACACATAATTGATAAGAAAGAAGTAAAAGATTGTATACAATTTAAACAATATAATTTTTCTATTAGTTATGATGAGACAAGATTTAAGTGTCCTTGTGTGAAGTCATTCGTATTTTCAAATATCAGTATTAGTTCAATAAAATCTTATCAAAATTCTTAGATGATATATATTTTTAATATATAATAGATAATATCATTAAATCGTCTAAATTTACTAGAACATTTTGTCAAGGTTCCAATATTATTTAATGAACAAATAATTGTAATATGATAAAATTGTTTCATGTGCTAATATTTTAGTATTTGTAATGTTAATGGACAAGATCATAAGACCTATCAAGTTTAAGAATTTTATTTTTGTTTATTAGAATTTTTATATACTTTTATTAAAATTATTTACTTTTGAAATAAATGAGTCAATATACAGGGACTAAAAAAATAAGTGAGTACTAAAATTTTCAGAACTCAAAAAAAAAAAAATAAACCTAGAGTAACTCATTCACTAAATAGGTGGATTGAACTCATCCTATCGGCTTCTACATTGGACTACGTATAAAAATGTTTGCAATACTATTTCAAACAAGAGGACTCAACGTTTTCTTATAATAACTTAATATTTGCATAAAATTTATTCTCTACTATAATATAATTTAAATTTTATCATTCCTATTTGTTTATATTTGTTTTTTTACCACTAATAATTTAATATGTCATGTTTTAAACCTATATTGTATTTTATAATTTTTTTTATTTTTTCTAAAGAAATAATTTAACTAATTGCAAATTCAATTTATAATAAAAGAGTTAATAAATAAATAAAATTAGGTTGTCAATAACTTAACTTATGGGTTCGGATTGATGTTGAGTTTAGAAAATGTTAAATTTTTTATGAGTAAATTTTGAATTAGACCATTGAAAATCGGATTCATTCGAAATAAAATTGTAGGAAGCTAAGTTGATTTATCAATCCATTAGATTATTAATATATAGTTAATTGGATTAGTTCATCGATCCACTCAATTTGTTATTTTTAAGTTATATTATTAACATTATTTAAATTTAACTTTATTTATATTTTAATTAGAAAAATATAATTTAAAATTGAAAATAAATGGTAATTAAATGAGTTAGTGAATTATTTAATTTACTAATATGCAATGAATTTGACTAATTTAAAAAATTTTAAACTCATTGAATTAAATTAATTCATCATAATAGATCAAAAGTTAGACTAAATAAAATATTTCAAATCATTAAATGTTGATACATCCAAGAAGCACTTATCAACATGCTTCGATTGAATAATACCACTTGGCAGGGAGTAATTAATTGCTTTATGTTGCATTGCTTTCACAAAGATTCCACGTATTTCACATTTTATTTACAAATTTTAGTAATTTTGGATTATCCTCGGAACTTAGCTCAACTTGCGATTATGAGAAAATAAAATAACTTAATTCTGTCACCATCTGTTTTTTTACGTGAATTTAATTTTTTATTTTTCAAATGTTCCCTCCATTTCATATCAATTGACTTTTAAAGTTTTCACATAGATTAAAAGAATAATTACTGTCTAATTTTGATTGTTGTTTTCCCATTCAATTTTCAAATTAATAAAACTGAAAAAAAAAACACGTAGTAGAAAAAAATCATTATTTAAAATTTAAATGTAAAAGTGACACTACAATTAAAACAAGTTTCTTTAATTTGACTCTTTTATTTTAAATGAGACTAACTAAAAAAAGTAATGGTTTTTTCAAGAAAAATAGTGATCGAGTTAGATTGTTTGGTTTCATGAAAATTTCATCTCTTAATTTTTTTAAATGATCAATTTAGTATTTAATAATCGCTTTATGTTATAATAATCTATAAATAGAAATATTTATGTGGCATTTATGTAAAATTTTAAGAAATTAATGTTATTACAGTCTTGTAATCTAATAAAAAAAGTCATAGTTCAAAAAAATCAAAATTAATTTTAACACTTTTAACTAAACTTTGCATATTTTCATAATGAGCACACAAATAACAGACACACTAATTGATTATCGTTAATTTAATTAACGTAATTATTTTCTTATCCTTAATGTTAGGTTTGAAGTTGAATAATTTAAATACTTAAATTTAATTTAATTTATTAAATTAAAAAAACTTGATAAAATGTTTAACAAATCGAATTCAAATATTTCGGGTACAACTAAACTCTTTTAACCCTTAGGACGCATGATCCAATGAAATTTTCGAGGAAAGAAAACTAAAGATATATTTGAAGAAACTGTGTTTAACAAAATTGAGAAAAAAATAAAAAAACCATAAGTTAAAATTAGTTTATATATTAGTTGAAAATAAAAAGTATATAAACCTATATTAAATTTAAATAGTAAAATTCGAGTGTGAGTTTTTTCTATTTTGGATTTTTGTGTTGAAATTTGTTTGATATATGAAATATTTTTGGCAGCAAGACAATTGGGCATATAATCGCGATGTACGGCTTTACGTTGGGTGCTTTTTTTTTTCTGAACCTCCCTGATTTTCTTACAGTACTCTCATAAAAGTGGAACTTCCCAAATTACCCTTCATTAAAAATATAATAAAAATCTTTACATTTCCTTATTTTTACTATTTCTCTAAAATAAGCTTCCATAATTAATAAGAACAGAGTACTATTTCTCTAGTGTTAGCAGCACCTACATTTTAAGATATTTCATCCTGTTTTATCTCAATAAGGACTTTTTCTTTTATACTTAAAATAAAAGTAGAGTAAATATCTAAATAAAATAATTTTATTGAAGGATGCACTTGTTAAAAACTGTTAAATATTGATTTTGTAATTTGTAATTCTAAAACAAACAAGCACTAAACTTTTGGCTCTATTAAATTTCAATTAAGATGTATAAGAATATCATTTTCATCGTTTAATAGTGTATCAGAAACAAACTATGTAGTGATTATTATATATCTTTGCAACAGAATCTATCTAGAATTAATTTGCAGTTATGCTATCAAACATCACAAATTTGCACGAATTTAAATGGTTGTTTAAGACTTAACAAAATTGATAGTATGTAAAAAAATCACGGAATGACCTGTATATTTCTTGGTAACAAACATTGATTGTCTAGGTGAGAAGGTGTTTTCTGATCTCTGAGACATTATCAGCAATGACCACCAAAGCTGAAGATACAATGTCAAGTATGGAAGAAGGTTTTTCCCCTAGCCCTTCCACAACCTTTGGATTGCATCACTGTTGTTCAAACCATGTTGCAACCCTGCACAGAAGGTCAGTCACATGATGTTTTCTGTTGTCTCAGAGGAATTAACACTTGCGCAACCAAAACGAGAAAAACTGTTCTATATATACTATTATCATTAGACTGAAATGAGGGTAGGATGTTTTTCTTCTTCTCTTTGGATTGTGACTAGGTGATGGCAGAAGTGATTGGCACATATTTTGTGGTATTTGCTGGTTGTGGATCTGTGGCAGTGAATAAGATCTATGGCTCAGTCACATTTCCAGGCATTTGTGTGACATGGGGACTCATCGTAATGGTCATGTTTTACACTGTTGGTCATATCTCTGGAGCACACTTCAACCCTGCAGTCACCATCACTTTAGCCATTTTCCGCCGCTTCTCATATAAACAGGTGACTTTCTTCTGTTAACATCATTTTCAATTTTTGGAAACACAATAATTAGATACAGTTCTTTCTAGGGAGAACTAAGACTCCAGTTCAGGTATTCACATTAACCAGTTTCTGCACCATTTTTATAACGTGTTGCTTTGATGACTTTTGGTCATGCATGTAGGTGCCACTGTACATTTTTGCTCAGTTACTGGGGTCTATACTTGCAAGTGGCACACTAGCCCTAATGTAGGATTTAACTCCTAAATCTTTCTTTGGAACGATACCAGTTGGATCCAATGTCCAATCTTTAGCTGCTGAAATCACCATCACCTTTCTCTTGATGTTTGTTATATCTGCTGTTACTACAGACGACAGAGCGGTTTGCACTCTCCTTCATACTATAATATATACACACACACGCGTGTCTTAAACAAATGTTTTTCACTTTTGTACTGATTTCTTTTTTCTGGGTCTAAATATTCTATTCTAATAATAAGCATTGTATGCTTGACTTGATAAACTCGCAGGTGGGTGATTTTGCAGGAGTTGTAGTTGGGATGACTATAATGTTGAATGTCTTCGTTGCCGGGTAACTAATTACTGGTTTAAGGTTTTAAATATTGATTTTAGGCATCATGTCATGACTGATGAGGAGATGAGTTTAATGATTATTCACCCTCAGACCAAAAATGTTTACCCTCTTAAACAATCAGAAACGTTGTTCTGTATAACTTCTTATGGTAACTATCGAAGAGGATTTGCGATCGAATGATACTATGAATATGGAAGTGCTTTACATTTTCATTTAGCAATCTATCTTCTCTTAGAACACAACTTACATAGCTCTTGTTTTGGTGTTGTATCTCGCAAGAATTGCAGTTTTGTAAGATTTACATGATAGAGGTGTTTATAAAAACCTGCATAGATTACGGGAATGAAACTAATTTCCTACTCATAAACAAGAGAAAAAGTAGTTAATAAATTGTATTCAAGTTTTGTTAGATTAAGAAGTGTTGGTGGTTTATTATGAAAATTGAAATTGGTTTTGCAATTTGATGCAGGCCTGTGTCAGGAGCTTCCATGAACCCTGCAAGTAGTATTGGTCCTTCGCTTATTATACATGTTTACAAAGGGTTGTGGATATACGTCGTTGGTCCAATTATTGGAGCCATAGCTGGAGCACTAGCTTATAACTTTCTTAGATCCACCACACACAATTCTCCTTCAGAAGAAATCAAAGGGCCTTCTTCAGGTTGAACAGATTCATGGGATACAATGGAAATTTGATTCTTCAGGTTGATGTTTGAATTTATTTCTTATTTATGACTTTGAATTAGGACAAGGTTATGCATAATTTCAATGCGTAGATATTTTCATAATTTTTTTATTTATTTATAAAAATTGAAATTTTGATTAGTTGATTAGCATACCCAACATGATGAATCTTTCCTGAACTATAAACCACATAAAAAATCAATTACCAACACACAAGAACTAAGCTCACCAACAAGTTTATTTAAAAATACAAAAGCAATGGAGATGAAAATATAATGCACCTACAAATAACATAAATAGAGTAAATAGACAAAGTTCAACCAAATAACACGGTGACGGATAGTGCTCCCAGACCAGCCAAAACTAGCAACCCCACAACTCTGTTTTGAACAGCAGAGTAATAGTATGCATATGCATCACCCGGTGGAGCGATTACATATATGAATCTTGGCGGCGGCGGTGGGGTCGGTGGAGGTCGTGATGGTGGTGGTCGCAGTCGCGGAGGTGGCGGTGGTGGCGGCGGTGGTGATTCATCACAAATTTGTGGGGAGGAAATCTCTGGTAATGAAAGTGGCGGCGGCGAAGGAGGTGGAGGAGGAGGTGACAGAAGTTCCTCGTCGCAGGGACTTCCACAAGGGCATGATCCACACTTGATTTCAGTGTATGGTTGAGGAGAAACTTGTGGTTGCTCTAACTTGGTAGAATATGTGATGGCATGAACCGAAGATGAAATTGTGACACATAAAAGAAGCAGCACTGCTGCAAGTTTTTGAGGACTCAAACTCTTTGTTGAAGGCACCATTTTGTGAGCAGTACATGAAATTTGATTCCTTCTAAGGCAAGGTATATAAATAAGAGCTTGTATGTGAAGTAGGATGCATGAGTTTAACTTTATGGGGTTTGGTTGGTTATAATTGTGTGATGATGGATGATCCTAAAAGAAAGTGAAAGAAATTGTGTAAGTGTAGTTTCATGTAAGTATATTCTTACCTTTTGCATGAAGTATATGGTGATAATGAGACATGAATTACCATTGCTATTGCAATTCACGTCAGGAAGTAAACATATACTTAGGTTATTGCATCAGTAAAATATAGCAGAGAATGGGTAGTTCGCTTTGAATAAAGTGTAAAGCTGGCATTATTCGTTCCCATACGTGACTAATTAATTATTGGCATCTTCATTTTTTGTAGCTTGCACTTAGCACATTAGTATCTCATTATTCTAGTTTTACTTTTCTCATATTTAGTAGTTATAAACTCAAATCAACCATGTATCTGCATTAAAAGATGACAGTTAATGACTAATACTTTAGAGACTGATTTATCTGTCATACTGTTATTTCGTACACAAATGAACTCATACTCACATTTTGGTAATGGTAAACGAGTTTCTATTTAATTGTGTAAGATCCAAGTTTTACTTTTTTAATTTGAAGGGAAAGGCATTGTAGGAAAAGATAGTTTTGGGATGAGAAATTAAGAAAGGAATCAGATGTACTGGAAGGAGGCAGAACAATTGCCTTTTCTATAGCCTCCCAAGTTATTTGTGACCTGTTCAAGGTATGAACAGGAAAGAAGTTTTTTTATTTTTTAAAATGATTCTTTTATATAATTTTTAATATAAAGATAGCCTTACTCAATTCTTTTATCGAATATAGACAAGAAAGGTGCCTTCGAAATATGAAAATAAAAAAGAAGTTTGTGTTTAAGTTAAGGTTCTAAATAGTGATATTTTAAAAAAAAATGATTAAATTAATGTATGGGTATTAGTTTTTTAGATAAAAATATTAATTAACAAAGTATCAAAATTAATTTCAACCTATCTTAAAATTTAATTCTTAGTATTGTGTGTTTACTTTGTGTACTTGAGAATTTGACTATATGTATTTATTTGAACGATAATGATATTTTAACCATATTTTTTATATTTTAAACATTATTTACGTGTCATATTTTAACCGAGAAAATATAAAATATGCAAAAATTTGTCATTTGAGTCCTATTTATTTTGTTTTTTGTAGTAAGAAGATTATTTTTCCATTGTAATTTGACTTTGTTGTTTTCATCATTTTGACTTTGATTAATGTAGATGTTATCGTTGCTTTGTATTGTTATGGTACCTAAAAGAATTGTCATAGATTAAATGAAATATAATTATTAATACTATTTGGGTTAAATATGTTTTTAGTCCCTAAACTATTGACCGTTTCTGTTCGTCCCTCTTCCAAACTAAGGTACAATTTAGTCCTCAATCTTTAAAAACGTTCGTTTTAGTCGAAAAACGAACGTTTTGAGGACTAAAATGAGGACTAAAAACAAAATTTTGAGGACTAAAACGAACGTTTTCTAAAGAATTGAGGACCAAATTGTACCTTAGTTTGAAGAGGGACGAAAACCAAGAAACGGCCAATAGTTTAGGACTAAAAACTATTTAACCCTACTATTTTTATCATTTTTTAAAATAATTTCAAGTAAAATAAATAATTTAATTACTTATTTTATACCATTATTGAAAAATAATTAATAATTTAAATTTTGAAACTGTTAAAAAAAATTAAATAATTTGTGCTAGTTTTAAATCAGTGTTAAAAGTAGATTTAATACATCGTTCGGTCAAAAATGATGTATTAAACCTAAAAGGTAATAAAAACAATAACTGTAGAAACAACATCATATTTGGTCAACAACATCTAATGACATAGATTCAAGAGATCTCTGGAAAAAAAAAATGACATACATCCAAACGGGGAAGAGATAGGAATTTGAGAGAAGAGGCTACTGGAGGGAGGAGAAGGAGAGGAAGTCATTGGAAAGAAGATTCAAGAGAGAAGGATTTGGGAACAGAGGTAAGATATGCTTCCATGAAATCATTTTTGTATGTGCCATGAACCTGTATGAGATCAACTTTGCTTAAATTGAGACTATACTCATTTTAATTGTTATTATAAGATATTTATATTTAATGATGATGTTATTATAGTATATTACAACTCTTCATCACTCATCAATTCACACTACCTTTGTATGACCCCGTTTTTGTTACTCCACCACCATTGTACCCTTCTATTCCATTCATCATAACATCTAATCATAATTCCTCCCCACAAGACAACCAAGACAGATCAAACAATTATAACATCTTCTGACTCAACCCATAACCTTAGACCACAAACCTTCCTAAATCGCCGTCTTCCACCGGAAACCGCCGCGAGCCACATGAATGTCATTCCACGAGAACGGCGCACCTGTAAATAGTGAATCTCCATCGCCTTCTTCAAGCCGCCGTCAGCCACCTTGATGTGCCTCTCCGCCGTCATCATCGCCACCGCTACTCTCTCGCCCTTTAAGGACCGCCGCTCTAGAGCTGCACATCTTCCTCGCGCCTCCCTCATCTTCTTCAACATCCGCCTATCACTTCCTCATCCCGAGCCACACCGCACCACTGCAGTTGCCGTGGAGGAAGGAGCTTCCCCGCGCCGTGGCTGCCAAATCTGGGAAGAAGGGAGGTCGCTCCCTTTGTTTCTCTCAAGGAAGAAACCGGGGTTGGGCCTTTGGCTGTTTTTGAAACTCTGAAAAATTCTCCCTCCACCACCACCAACGGTCCACCACCACCACTGGCTCCATTCACCATCCGATACCTAATTTGTTCTTCTATAAAATGGATGTCGACATCCGTGAACGGACGTTGGCATCCGTGGACGGACGTTGGCATCCGTGGACGGACGTTGGCATCCGTGAACGGACGTTGGCATCCGTGAACGGACGTTGGCATCCGGACGGACGTTGGCATCCGTGAACGGACGTTGGCATCCGTGAACGACGTTGGCATCCGTAAACGGAAGTTGGCATCCGTGAACGGACGTTGGCACCGTGAACGGACGTTGGCATCCGTGAAACGGACGTTGGCATCCGTGAACGGACGTTGGCATCCGTGAACGGACGTTGGCATCCGTGAACGGACGTTGGCATCCGTGAACGAGGGCGTTGGCATCCGTGAACGGACGTTGGCATCCGTGAACGGACGTTGGCATCCGTGAACGGACGTTGGCATACGTGAACGGACTTGGCAATCCGTGAACGGACGTTGGCATCCGTGAACGGACGTTGGCATCGTGAACGGACGTGGCATCCGTGAACGGACGTTGGCATCCGTGAACGGACGTTGGCATCGTGAACGGACGTTGGCATACGTGAACGGGACGTGGCATCCGTGAACGGACGTTGGCATCCGTGAACGGACGTGGCATCGTGAAAGGACGTGTGGCATCCGTGAACGGACGTTGGCATCCGTGAACGGACGTTGGCATCCGTGAACGGACGTTGGCATCCGTTGACACCGTGAACGTTGACATCCGTGAACGTTGACATCCGTGAACGAACGTGTGACATCCGTGAACAGTTGTTGACATCCGTTTACATATTTATATTTTACTTTATTGTTTTATTTAAAAAAAATAACAGATGTGCCATATGGTTTAATAAATTTTTACAAAATATTTTATTATTATTTAATTAATAATATATAAATTAAATAAAATAGTATTTTATTAAATAAAATAAAATTAATTTATAAATAATTAAGTAATAATTTTAAAAAAATAATATTTATATATTAATTTAAAATATAAAATATTAAAAACTAAAAATAAAAAAAATAAACTAATTCAAACGGTGACACATCGTTTAATAGATTTATAATAAAAGTTTTAATTATTATTTAAATAATAAACATAAATTTAAAATTAATATAATTATTTATAAAATAAATAAAATAATTTATAATAATTAATAATAATTTTAAAATAATAAATAATATTTATATAATAATAAAAATACAAAAATTTAAAAATTAAAAACTAAAAAATTCAACGGATGTCACACATGGTTAACGTTGGCACATCCATTTTTATATTATAAAAGATATTTTAATTATTATTTAAATAATAATACATAAATTGAATTATAATAATTATTTATTTA